TTTATTGTTTCTCGACTGCGAGCATTAAAATTTTAGGACAAGGTTCTTCGTAAATGTATTTTTGAGAATTCAGATCCGGCTACGGCCCATATACAAACGGCTTAAGCAGTCAACAAAAATTTTAGGCGAAGTAAAAATAAACACACAGCGCTAAACTTGCTTCAAAAATCTCAGTGCAAATTTGAAACCAAGCTAAGAAGGAAGAACACGATTGCTGCAAGTTGCTAGCGCTCAGGTAAAGACGATTTTTGAAGCTTCTTTCAGAACTGCACCAGAAGTTTTAGAATAGTGTCTCATCCATCATTCTGTGACAACTTTTAATCATTGGCTACGTGCACCGGGCGGGCGATCCGTGCGATCATGCGTTTTTGCTATATTTCGTCCTGTAATGAGATTGGTGGAAACCCAGTAGCTAGAAATGCGTGATATACTGGCCTTCGAAGTTCGGAAGTTAATTGTCTATGCGGTATTTGGCCAAGGAACACTTCGTTGAAATTTCAGCTTCCTCAATTTTCTGGTTCTTGAGTTAGCAATATTCCTGCCAAAAATTTCCACGGACCGTACGTAACAACCACGCGCGCCCGAGGGCTGAGTTTGATAAATTTAAGTCGTACATGGGCCGGAAAAATCCCCTGGAAATTTCAGCCTCCTGGCTTTTCTGGTTCCCGAGCTAGCCAATATCCCGCCTAAGATTTTCACGGGGCCGTACGTGATTACCACTCATACTGAGGGGCTGAGTTTGATAATTATAAGTTGAACTTGTGTTAGGGACATTTTCTGAAAATTTCAACCCCCCAGCTTTCCTGGTTCCCGAGTTAGTCATTTTCACGCCAGGAATCCTCACGGGGGCGTACGCGGGAACCAAGCACACCTGGGGGCTGAATTTGAAGCCTTAGAGTTCTATGTAGACGGGGGACATAACCTCAAAATTTCAGCTTTGTAGCTTTTCTGGTTCCCGAGTTAGCGGTTTTCCCGCCAAAACTTCAACCCCTCGTACGCGGGGCCTGGGCGTGCCTGAGGGTTGATACCGCGTTCCTGGGGTGGCACTTGGGTGGCGAATCCACTGGCAAAATTTTGGCGCCGGAGCTTGCCTGGGTGCCGAGTTGAAATACCCGGACAGACGCACACACATACACACACACACACACAC